GAAGGGGGGAGGGAGGTACGACTTCCGCCACTGTCGCCCCTGAATTCCCACACCCGCTTTTATCTCGTTCCTCCAAAGAGAAACTTGAGTTAGTTCGTTAGTTGATAGTATTGTTTGGGGTTCGTTTGTCCGCCGAGGAAAACTTGTTTGTCTACTGGGAGTTCGAACTTGCTCTTTTTTTTATTTTATTTTATCAACGTCCTTGTCTCTGGTAGAATGGTATTGATATTACTGTTTTTTTCGCTCTAATTTTTTATGATATTTTTATTACTATTACCATAACTTTGAGGTTTATGCTTTCCACATCCTTAGTAGTAGTGTTATTACAATTATCTATGAATTACGTATTATTGCTATCACTATAACAATATGTCATACAAACATACGATCTTATATACAGGTGTCCTTGTAAGTCTGCAACCTACGTATAATACATCCTCACAGAAAATCTTCGTTTCTTACAATCTCAAGAACTCATTTCCCAGATTTCATGCAAAAAAAATAGTAATAGATGTAAAAAGAAAAAAAAAACATTAGAAAGATATTTCAAAAACTCTTTTCCTATTATTTTCTCTTTTTGATTTTCTTTTTGAATCGTCGGACAGTACCCCATTTACCCTGATGGACGACTTCGGGGCAAAAGTGACGACGGAATACAAAGCGGCAGAGTCGTTCTTCAATACGTTTCTTTGACACCGGATATGGACTGTCTTCGCGGTCATTATGTATCTTCTTCCATGTGTTCTTTGGCTTGTGTGAGTTTGTGAATCTGGACAATGTATATGGATTTTTTTTGTTTTGTTTTTGTTTTTGTTATTTTGTTTGTGATTTTATGTGCTCACGTGAGTATGGAAGAAGCATGTGTTTTTGGTTTCTCGAAACTATGAGTGGTTGAGTATCTTCGAGAATATTCTTGAATTTGTGCCATGTGGATATATAAGTTTTTTTTTGGCTCGTTTCCTGTTCCGTAAATGCGAAAATTGGTTGTCCGAGAATGTGCTTGAATCCGTGTCAGAAAGGTTACGGTGTTCGAGTCTCCGCTCTTACCCGGCCAAGGAAGTGAACAAGAAGCGGACAAAAGCAACGGTGAATGGTCTCACTCGGCGATAAAATTGAAGCGTGGTCCGCCATTATAGAAGGAATTAAGGCTGGTCAGTGTCTAAAATTAGTAACAAAAAAAGAAGAGGAAACATAATTTCCGCTTCAGTCGTGTACTGTACAGGTCTTTTACATGTTAGGATTAGTACATAATACTCAAAATAACATTCTGATATATTCCCCTACACACACACACACACACACACACACACACACACACACACACACACACACACACACACACACACACACATATAGCACAATCACAGAAGTTCTTTCCCTCGTAGCTGTTAAACCCAGATGACACAGCGCATGGATAATAAAGACAGCACTCACAAGTTGCAAAATGAGCACTGTGTCATCGGCCGCCGGTTGCAATTTAATTAAGAGAACAGTCAACACGTCTTAACTTCTCAAGATTTCTCAGATATGAAGATAACTAGAGCTGTAGCATTCTGAGCTTGACTTCCCTTGTCCGCCGAAAGGAATAAGTCTTTTTAAGATTGTGTATTGAGTTTTCTTTTTTCTTTGCCTCTTTTTTCTAATCCTTTTGGTGTGAACAAGACCGTAAATTCCTTAAAGGTGCGGTCGCGGCGCCTCTTCGTCTTGTGTGTGTTATCTTTAAGGTATTAGGGTTGGTGTGTCGGTTATTTTATTGATTATTACTATTATCATCATCCATAGGATTGTTCTCTGTTCGTCGTAGTTATTACTGTTTTTTTTATATCATTGTTGAAACACTTATCTCAATCAGTAACTTCAGCCATATTGTTATCCTTTTGTTATTATTATTATCATTATCATCATATCATTATTAAAATTATTAACATTATTATTACTGATGTTACTGATATTTTAAGTTTTATTATTAGCATTATCACAATATCATCATTATTAATATCAACCTTATTGATGTTATTTTCGCTCTGACCGTTGTAATCAATATCATTTTCCTCATTATCAGTCATCGTTTTATATGTTTTATTGATAGTGCTGAATCATTATGAATACGGACAAATGCTTATAATCAATGCCATCATTATAGTAATGATTTTCTTACTGGTATTCTGACCATGACCATATCATAGTTACGTTTTCAGTTATTGGAAGTTTCATAGTAGGGAAGGATCGAGTTGCTGCCGCTCCTTTCGAAAGAGAAGATGGGTAGCGAGGGAAATAGCTTATATAAGTTTATATAATATATGAATAGATAAAGCGACGTGGACAGTGGGTGGAAAGTAAACGAGAGAGAGGGGAGTAGAGAGAAAAGTGGAGTAGGGTATTTCTGTAATCAACTCCCACGTGAATTGCAGTTTTCCCATCTGCGTAGCCGCGGTTCGAGTGGCCCGCGTCTGCGCAGAGTAGTCAGGCGTCCTAGACAATACTGGTGTCAGTCAGCAACCACTCGTGGGCCGGCGCGGGCGAGTGTGCGCAAGGCTCTGGCCAGACGGGACCAGCGGGAGGTCGAGCGAGCGAGTGCGTGCGGTGTGCGTACGTTCGTGTGCATGTATGCGATCGCTCGTGTGTGCGTTTGTGCGTGCTGTGGTGGTGGGAGGTGGGGAGGGGAGAAGAGGGGGGCGGGGGTAGAGCGTGCAGGCAGCCCGCCCCCGTTGACGGTTTTGTCGGGTCGTGATCTTGAGTGCGTTGATTATTTGTGACCGTTACCACAGCGCTACCGAGTTCCAGTTCCGGAGTGGTTAGGGGAGATTATCGGGCCGTCTGCGAAGGCCTTTGTGTGCGGAAGGCATTGCATGAATGACGGCGCTCTTGGGTTTACAAAGAGCAAAAGTCTTTTCCCAGCCGGATTCAACCGAATTTAAATCTCCCGTCGCGCTGTGAGTGTGTTCGGGATTTTAAATTTAGAAACGGTAAACCGAGTTTAAATTTCTTGGATTTATTCGATGAGGAAAGTGTATACGAGTGCCCATACTTGTTCTCAATTAACCCATCTCATTTGAAACCAAAGTGTTTAGTGAGTGTTACGTGTCATTAAGTGCTCAGCCAATAGGCATACTTAAAAGTGTACCACCTTCAGGTAGAACGCCGAATGTGGAGCATAGTGAGGCCCTCAATTCCTGTGGCAAGGCTTTCGGATATAGTGCATCATAGCTTTTAGTGAAGTTTAAAGTGCTCGTGGTGTCTGTGTAAACATGGTGTTATTATTGTGGTTTGAAAATGCACTATTGTGCTTGCTTGTGATTCGTAGACCAACTAGTGACTGTTGATATTCCAGAAAATATTAGTTCTTACGTCACTGAATGCAGAAATGATGGATAAGAATCATGATCATGCAAAATAGAGGTTGCATGATAGCACGTATGTTCCAGAGCAAGATGAGTGTTAATGATGAATGAAATGTCAGAACTAGCTGCAAGTGCTTCTGACAAGTGAAAGTGTCACCTGATATCGCCTGCGTAACCAGGAAATAATGTCAATTATGGATATAGATTAGAATGCCAAAAGTGAGGGGAGGATCACCTGTCACAAGGGATATGAAAGCAACCAAACTGCACTTTTAGTTAAAGCTGTGGGTGTTCATTTTGGTTATTGTGTCAACTAATACTGTTAACATGAGAAGTGAAAATACTACCAAAAGGAAATATACAGTTTTAAAGAGACTTAAAGTATTTCCCTCTTTTAACACCAATAAGAAATACGAAACTATTCATCATGACATTTGATAACAAAGAAAAGTAATGTGTAGGTGCGTGTACAGTAAGTTGGTCATTGCGTACGACCGCAGACTCGTGTTTAATTAGCAATATTTCGATAGTTAATGTCTGTCTGCTTTTAGCGCTCATACTGTGTGCGACCTCGGGGTGTAGAATATCAAAGCTTATTTAAGCAGGGGTAACTTTAATGCTCTATATTTTAGTTTAATGTCGTTGTAAAGACAGTGATAGTACGTGTGAGTACGTGCTGGTAAAACTGTATAAATGCTCATTACGCGCTCACAGATTCAATACAAACAGTCATATACATAGCCATTTCCTCCCGTGTGTAGACAGAAAAAGCTGGTAAATATAAACTTACGTTATATGTATACACATTTGATATATATAAATATATATATATATATATATATATATATATATATATATGTATATACGATATACTTAAGTATATACACATGTGTGTGTTTATATATACATATCTATATCTATATCTATATATAAAAAAAAAAAAAAAAAAAATATATATATATATATATATATATATATATATGTTTTATATATTATATGTATATCATATTATATATATATATATATATATATATATATATATATATATATATATATATATGTGTGTATATATGTATATATTATATGTATATATATTTTTATATATATATATATATATATATATATATATATATATATATATATATATATATATATGTATGTATAATGTATACACACACACACACACACACACACACACACACACACACACACACACACACACACACACACACACACACACACACACACACACACATATATATATATTGGGAGTAGATACAGACATCAAGAACATGTTTCACTTAGCAAGTACATCAAATACACGGTAACGTAGCTGAAGAATCTTCTTTGCCAGTAATGACACAACAAAATCACGAATAAGAAAAATGATAATATCTTAAAGCTGCGGTCGTACTCTACCTCCTTCCTATCGCCGTAATTACCACTCGACTTTGAAAAGATTGTTGGTCCTTCGCTAAAGATGCGGGGGGAGGCTGGCGAACCCCCGCATCTGTCTCCGGGGATGAGGAGGTGGGAGGGAGGGAGAGGGAAAGAGGAGGAGGGAAGGAGGAGGAGAGAGGGAGAGGGAAATATGAGGGAGGAGGAGGCGGGAGGGAGAGGGAAGAGGGGGTGAGGAGGAGGGAGGGAGAGGGAAGTGAGAAGAGGGGGTAGGAGAGAGGGAGGAGGAGGGAGGGAGAGGGAAGTGAGAAGAGGGGATAGGAGAGAGGGAGGAGGAGGGAGGGAGACGGAAGAGGGAAGAAGGGGGAGGGAAGTAGAGGGAAGGAGAAGAGGGAAGGATGGGGGGAGGAGGAGGGAGGAAAGGGAAGGAGGAAAAGGGAGGAGGGAAGTGAGAAGAGGGGGTAGGAGAGAGGGAGAGGGGTGGGGGGAGGAGGAGGGAGGGAGAGGGAGGAGGGAAGTGAGAAGTGGGGGTAGGAGAGAGGGAAGGGTAGGAGGGAAAGAGGAGGGAGGGAGGGAGAGGGAAGAAGGAGGAGGGAGGGAGGGAAGGAGGTAGGTAGAGTCGCTCGCACGAGAACAGGTCGCCGAAGCCATCATATGGGACACTGGGTACGTGTATGTATGTGTGTTTGTTTCTCTGTGTACGTATGTGTATGTGTGTTTGTTTCTCTCTCCATGTATGCGCGTCCCCTGAATGATGGTGGATCTTATACCCCCGACATTTTTCCAGTATATCCAAAGAAAGTTATTTTCCTTTCCGATAAATCTGTGATGTAGGGTATAGATAGAAATATTTTTTTTATAATGTAAACATGTCTGCTTGGCGTGCACGTGTGTGTGTAAACGTGTGTGTTTGTGTGTGTGTGTGTGTTTGTGTGTGTGCGCTTGTGTGTGTATGTGTATGTGTGTGTGTGTATGTGTGTGTGTGTGTGTGTGCATATGCGTGTGTTTGTGTATGTGTGCTTGTGTTTGTGTATGTGAGCTTATGTTTGTGTATGTGTGCTTGTGTCTGTGTGTGTGTGTGTGTGTGTGTGATGCAGATAGACATAATGACAGAGGAAAGTGCATGAAGACAGGCATATTCACCGAAAATAAAAGAAACAAAGATATATATATATATATATATATATATATATATAGAGAGAGAGAGAGAGAGAGAGAGAGAGAGAGAGAGAGAGAGAGAGAGAGAATCATGTTCAAGTAGAAGTGACAGCACTAAGAAAATACATCCTGGAGGTAACCAGCCGCTAGATAGACGTGAAAGATTTTTGTATCTAGCCCTATTGCGTCAATTTTTGAAAGATTTCTGTCCTATACCTTTAATGGGAGTAATGATAACGAAATGAAGGATGGCAACTGTGATGAAATAGATATAATCGTTATATACCGCTGCTCATTTTGGTGGCAAAATTAATGTATACTGTTAATGTATTATGAAAGTAATGGCGTTGATGAGAGAAATGCAAACATTATTAAAGCTGATGATTTCATATGTAGTGATAATGATAGAGGAGAAAATTATTATTATAATACCTTAGGCTAGGTGCCTGATATTGCCCTGTGGGACAGATCATATCGTTTTTGCATAACTAACTCAGAATATCAAAGTAAAATTCTCATTGATATTATCTGATGTGAACCACAGTTTTGTGAACACGCGAAACGAATTCGGTGCTTGGTAGTGAGCAGGCACAAGTTACGTTTGAATAGACAGTCAATTAAGTCTGTGATTCATTTCTGCAATTCTTTGTGACGCATTTGCCACTAGTAAGATAAACACAAAGAAAAAAATGAGAAAGAAGAACTCATTTTAAAGTAAATACGTGATTAGGAAAGTCCTGAAGTTTTTAAATGAACTAATGAAATTTCGTATGTTTACGTAATGCGCACAAACATCGCATGCCGAGGGGAAACTCGCTTAGACTAACTGAAGAATGTGCAAGAAAAAAATGAAACGAGAAAGACGAGAAAGCAAAATGAAAAGGAGGAAGAGAACGGAACGGAAGCGAAAAGGAGAAACAGAGATGGAGCGAGATCTCACACCAAAGATGGTAGAATGCTGCATATCAGAGCGTATATTAAGTCCTTCCAAGACAAGCCAGGACACAGACATGACCACGGCGGAGGGATGAGATCAAGATAACCCCTTAAGTGCGTCGAAACAATAGCTTATTATGGGATAATCGACGGAGGTTCCAGCATAACAAGGCCTAGAGAAGATTACACTTAATGCTTTGTAGGAATTCCGTAATAATTCATGACCGTATTTGGATACACACGTACGTGTACATGGATATATATATATATGTGTGTGTGTGTGTGTGTGTGTGTGTGTGTGTGTGTGTGTGTGTGTGTGTGTGTGTGTGTGTGTATATATATATATATATATATATATATATATATATATATACATATATATATATGTATATATGTATGTGTGTGTGTGTACACTGTATGTATATATATATATATATGTGTGTGTGTGTGTTTGTGTGTGTGTGTGTGTGCATGTATGTATGTATCTTTGTGTGCATCTGTGTATATGTATACAAAGAAGAGAAAGATAAGTATATATATATATATATATATATATATATATATATATATATATATATATATACATGTATGTATGTATATCTGTGTAGATATACATGCGTGTAAGTATGGTAGCTCTCCTATGTAAACATGTGTGCATCCGATTATAATGATTGCAACATCAGCAACGAATGACAAGTATTCAGAGGGGCGTGAAGGGGAAATGTGAGAAATTTTGTTTTG